GAAAACCCTAAGGAGTGAATCCAGCAGGAACCTTTAGCCAGAGATGAAACCCTAAGGGATGAATCCAAGAAGAACGTTTCACCGAAGACGGAAAACCGTAAGGATCGAAGACAACACCTGAAGGAGTGACCCGAAGGAATGAATCCAGCAGGAAGCTTCGACCGAAAAGGAAAACCTGTCCAAAACAAGAAGAAGTAGGGAGTCACAGATGGCCAGAGCAAGAAAAGGCGGGGAGTCACAGATGACCCGTGTTGCTGTGTGAAAATAACATTGAAAAGCAAGGCAAAAGGGTCGGGAGTCACAGATGACAGGCGCTTGTTTGAGAAGAAATCACAGGCCTGCCAATGAATAAGAACACTTTCGGGTGAGGTGATGTGTGGTGATGCCAGGCGGAGGGAGTCACAAATGACGGGGATTTACCTGGCCAAGAGCCAGGAACGTAGGGAGTCACAATGACAGAAAGAGGGAGTCACAAATGACAGGTGTGCCCTATCAGTGTAGGTCAGTGGCAGCCCATTCAACATGCTGGCCTGTGACCTTGTCCCGGGGGGGCTGAAGGAAAACTCCCTGATCCCCGGAACGACTCAAGAGAGTGGAAACATCAGCTTGCGCAATCTTGATAATGCCATACACTTGACGTCGGCCTCCTTTGATGACTTCTTCAGCCCAGCTGAAGCAGTCTATGCAAAGGACATGGTGCTGGGCCGTCCACTGGGCGATCTGACGCTGCGGCCTCTCAACAAATCCCTTCCAGACCTGAGCTTCAGCGTAAGCCTTCGGGACTTTGACAAACAGGATCGCGGTGGCCTTGGTGGCAACTTTTTGGGGAACAGAAGAGATCCCAACCGGCTGCGGCGGAGCTTGCCCGGCAGAGCAAGCATGTATGACGAAAGCATCCTGCGCACGCAGCCTGATGCCAATCTTACCCGGAACCTGTTGAGGCTTGAGGTCCTTAGTGGGGCCAGGGTGATCTTTGGCGAGCACAATCAATAGACAGGCAATTTTTTTAACTGCGCCTGTCAATAGTGTTTGAACCGTGGCGAGTTCCTTCCCTGGGCACAAAATGACAGCACGACAAACATCATTGACAGCTGTATCCTGAAGTCGCTGCGCAATCCCCGTGCACGAAACCAATGGGGCATTCCAGTCCTGCTGACGAAGCTCAAATGATTCCTCAGTTGTCGGCTTGCGCTCTACAAGCTTCCAGGCATCTTTCCCAGAAGGATTGGCGGAGTCAACCTGAGTGGGAGTCCCACCCTTGCCTTTGGACTTTGGCCTCTCTGCTGTATTGCCACGGCCTCCAAGAGGGGCATTGCGAGCTGCATCACCAGATCCAGCGCTTTTGTGCTTTCCTTTTGCCTTCCCCTTGACATCGGGGGCAACAGGCGCGGCCTGGGGCACAACATTGGCTTGCACTGCACCTTCGCCTTTACCTTCGCGCTTGCGCTTAAGAGGCTGTGCACTGGCCTCCGGAGCAGGATGCAATGACTGGGCTGGGAGGGCAACTTGAAGCTTTTGCATAGCAGTCTGCACCGCCGACTGTACTGCAATCTGAATCTGCTGCTGAATGAAGCTCTGCAACATGTTCCCAAAATTGGGTCCCAGCCGGCTGCCAACATCAAACACAGAGGCAGCACTGCTGTCGGCAGGGGTCGCTGATCGGGCCTGCTTAGGTCCTGGGTTTGAAGCCTCCCCCACGCGAGTGGCTAGCAGATAGCAGTGCTGAATCACGTTGGAAGGCAAACACGTCCACAGCTTTGCAGACCAGCACGCTAGCATGGAGATGCGTCCTTGCTTCACTTCGGTCTGACGGCGACGCTCGAAGCTCTCAATGTTGCCATCGGCAGTGAAACCTGCAGGATAGCAAAATCTTACTGGGTCCTGCACACCGAACTCGATCTCGAGAACACTCAAAGCGAATGTTGTGTAGTTGTAATGGTCACCCCCGGCGTTTGCAAGCATGGAGATGCGTCCGTGCTTCATTTCGGTCTGGCGGCGGGGCTTAGAGCATTCAATGCTGCCATCGGGGATGAAACCTGCGGGATCCCAAAATGTGACTGTGTCCTGCACACCGAGCTCAAATTCAACGGCACGCAAAGGCAACGCAGGGTAGTTGCACCAGTCACCCCGGGAGCTGGTAAACACGGAAATGGGTCCGTGCTTCACTTCGCTCTGGCGGCGGCGCTTAAAGCTCTCAACGCTGCCATCGGCGATGACACCTGCGGGATCCAAAAATCTGACTGGGTCCTGCAAACCGAACTCGATTTCGAAGGCACACAAATGCGATGCAGCGTAGTTGGAACAGTCATCCCAGGCGGTTGCAACTAGGGACATGCGGCCGTGCTTGGTTTTGGTTTGGCGGCGGCGCTTGAAGCTCACAACGCTGCCATCGACGACGAAACCTGCGGGATCGCAAAATCTGACTGGGTCCTGCACACCGGAAGCGATCTCGCAAGCATGCAAAGACGATGCAGCGTAGTTGCAGCAGTCACCCCAGGCGCTTGTGATCATGGAGATGGGTCCGTGCTTCACTGCGATCTGGCGGCGGCGCTTGAAACTCTCAACGCTGCCATCGGCACTGAAGCCTGCAAGCATGGAGATGCATCCGTGCTTCACTTCGGTCTGACAGCGGCGCTTGAGGCTCTCAACGCTGCCATCGGCACTGAAAACTGCGGGATCGCTAAATCTGACTGGGTCCTGCACACCGAGCTCTATCACAAAGGCACACAAAGACGAAAATGTAGTGAAAAAGGAACAATCACCCCGAGCGCATGCAAGCATGGCGATGCGTCCATGCTTCACTTCGGTCTGGCGGCGGCGCTTGGAGCTCACAAAACTGCCATCGACGACGAAACCTGCGGGATCGCAAAATCTGACTGGGTCCTGCACACCGGAAGCGATCTCGCAAGCATGCAAAGACGATGCAGTGTAGTTAAAACAGTCACCCCAGGCGCTTGTGATTATGGAGGTGGGTCCGTGCTTCACTGCGGTCTGGCGGCGGCGCTTGAAGCTCTCAACGCTGCCATCGACACTGAAACGGCGCTTGAAACTCTCAACGCTGCCATCGGCACTGAAACCTGCAAGCATGGAGATGCATCCGTGCTTCACTTCGGTCTGACAGCGGCGCTTGAGGCTCTCAACGCTGTCATCAGCGAAAAACCCTGCGGGATCCCAAAATCTGACTGGGTTCAGCACCCCTAAAGACGATGCAATGTAGTTGGAACAGTCACCCCAGGTGCTTGCAAGCAAGGAGAAGCGTCCGTGCTTCACTTCAGAGTAAGGTCCAAAGTCAAAACCGATCTCAGACACCGGCCCAGGATGTGATGCTTCGCCTCTGCGTTGGCCAACATGTGCATCATGATTCCGGGTTTTGGCTGGGCACAAGAAACAAAGGCAGCTGCACAAGTCCAACGATAGCCACCGTGCACGGTCGCCCGGCTCTTGCGCATACGGAACGTCACTAGGGTCCAAAAGGGCCCTGAACCTGAGGGGGGAAGGGGAAACCAGCTTCTCGTCATCGGCTTCCTTGTAGCAGCTTCCCTCGACAAAAGGCCTTTGCCTAACGACACACCCAGACAGAGAAGGCCTAAACCCGGGAAGGGGAAGGGAAACCCTGTGCAAGTTAGCAAGGCAAGTGCAGTCATTGTCACAAACACCGGCACTAAGCTCAAGCACTCCTGTCGAAGTGCCACAACCTGTCAATTCAGTACGCTAAGAACACGGCCATACAGGCTCTTCGTCCTACAGTCAGGCTCGCACTCACCATCACAATTAGCACTAGTTAGGCCATTAAGGCTCTTTGCCCCTTCACGGGTCTTTTCTGTTTCTTGATTCACACAATCAGAGTACTCAGGAGTTGCAGTCGACGGTCCGCGCAGCCCAGCACCAGAGTCCAGGTCACACGCAGGTTGACATGCTTGCAGTTGCGGTGCATAGTAAAGAAACTCCTCTGAAAGAGTAGCCTCGAACATGCACAGCTGAGACATAGGCTGTTCTGGTTCAGCTAGGGCATCCTCTCGACAATCACTCATCGAGAGCTGCACCTGAGAATCATCCTCGGCAGATGCAAGACCAATCCCCGACTGCCAAGGATCTGCCACAGCAGCAGAGTTGCTGCCCCCACTGGTGCCATCTGAGCTGGCCCCCACTGAAGCCCCTGACCACAAGCCAAAGGCACCAACTGCACTCCACACTATAGTTCTCGGCGCACCGCGCTGAGCCAAGAAATCAAAATCCTTTTTGCAAAACTTGGTACCGATGTGCGCATGCATACATTTCCTTTTGCGCACCAAACGTTTTCCTTTTGTGTACAGTATGTATGGCCAGGTATGTATCTTGTGCTCACATGGTGAAGTGCATATATCTGCAGGCGTTCGAAAGATCACAGAGAAAATTTCATGGTAGCGGAGCGCTAGTGCGCTCTTTGGACCTTGGAGGCCCAATAGGAGGTTCCTGTGTAGCTGGTAGTGCCCCACACGTGTAGTGAGGCCCCTGACTCTTCGCCGCCATTACTTCTGAAGCATCTGCGCAGCCAATCGAGGCTGAACGGACAGTAAACTGGGACGAGCCAGCAAAGCTTCGTCAGTTGCGATCTCACGCAATTGAAACCTACACTGAGTTGCAGCTTGAGAAGCCTCGCACTCCGTCGCTGTCTGATTACTCGTTTGGTAAGAGGCAGGTCCAGCTGAGGTTAGAGCATAAGCACAAACTTGAGCAACTAACCGCTGCAGCCGAGATCATTGCATACGCTTGCAAGTTGCTGTCAGCAGATCCGCATTTGCTTGAAGTTTTCTTGAGGCACTCTTACGAGGTTGTCTTAAGAGCTGAGGAGTCCAAGTCAGTGCCAGCAGCCACCCAGGAACTGCCACTACGTGCTTTCGCTAGGCTGAGAGTGAGCCGTGAGGTGATTGATCTTGAGGAGCAGTCATCAGCTGAGGATCCCTCTTCTTGCAAATCACTACCCAACCCTCCTAGGGGTGTAGTCCCCTTTTGTGGTTCCGATGGCGAGCCCGGCGAGCCCAGGCCAGCTAGAAGCAGGTCAAGGTGATGCGACGATGAGTATGCAGGAAGCCGTGCAGCAAATGCCCGCGGCACCGGTTACTGAGCCAGCACCTCAAGTGAGTGTGAATGACGTGACTCAGCTTGCAGCTCTCGTGCAAGCTGCTTCGAGTGCGGCTGCCAGTGCTGCTAGTGCTGTGTCGCGCATGCAGGAACAGAATGATCGTGGGACTGAGCGACAGTACTCAGGCTACACCGATGCAGCGAAAGTCTTGAAGTATCCTGAAGGCTGCGGTGGAGGTGATTCTCACGAGGCGGACCTCGCCCGCTGGCAGGAGTTTGCTCACAGCTTTCGCTCTTGGATCCTTTATGCTGAACCAGCTTTTGAGACTGAGTTGGATATGATCGAGAAACATCCTGATGTTGTGATCACCTTGAGTGAGATGGCTCGTGCAACGGGGGTGCGCGCCCGCAGGCTCTACGCAATCCTGTCGGGGTTGTTGAAGGGCAGGCCTTTGGTGATGTTGAGAGCTGTTGAAGAGCATAATGGGTTCGAGCTTTGGAGGCAACTCATTAGTGTGTACGCTCCACGCACGCGTGCACGCTCGTTGGCACTGTTGAGCGCCTACATGGCGTATCCAGTCTTCGTGAAGGAGAGAAGCATTCGCGAGCAGGTGAGTGCCCTCGAGAGGATATCGGAAGAGTATCAAAAGGTGGCTGGTAGACCTATAGCCCCGGATGTTCGATTAGGTGTTCTGGTAAGGGTTCTCCCGAGTCATTTGAAACAACACGTACAACTTCAGATGACAGAAAAGTCCAGTTACGAGAGCATCCGCGAAAGCATCCTTCAGTACGAATCGGTGACGACGACATGGGCGGCCCATCGTGTGCATGTTGAGCTGGGAACGTCAACCGCCAGCGACCAAGGGCCTCAGCCTATGGATATAAGCAGGGTCAAAGGCAAAGAAGGCAAAGGCAAGGGTGACAAAGGCAAGCCGTATCGTCCTTATGGTAAGGGTCAAGACAAAGGCAAAGGCAAGGATAAAGGCAAGGGTAAGCATGCCAAAGTCAATCCTTGGAACGGCAAAGGCCCCCAGCATGGTGGCTGGGATGGCGGCAAGGGCCGCGGCAGAGGCAAAGGCCCGAAGGGCAAAGGCAAGGGCAAAGGCGCTGACGTTTGCCTTAATTGCGGACGGTCCGGTCACTGGAAACGTGATTGTCCACAGTTGAGGCAGGTAGGTGAGCAACAGGTGCCGCAGCCGCCGCAGCAAGCATCAGCAGGTGCCGGGCAGCAAGGTCAGCACGCAACAGGTCAGGCAGCAGGTGGAAAGGGCCCTGGGGGCCAGCAGACTGCTGTGCGCAGGGTGGCGTTTGGAACCCCACTCGAGTATGTGCTGTCAGACGATTGGGAGCCCATCCCAAATTTGACCATCTATGACCTTGGTGGTGCTGAGGATGGTGGTGCGTGCCCCGGCAGAGATGAACCGTATGATGCTTGGTATGATGATGGTGACACGTACTCGTATGATGAGTGGCATCATGTTGCTGCTGGGCAAGCTGGTGAGCGCAGCTTTGGCCCGAGTGTCAGAATGATACAGTGTGCCCAGGATGATGCTGATGATGACTGTGAACTGTCAAGCATCAGCCTTGAGGATCAGTATGACTGCCTCGAGGCCATCAACGAAATGTACCTGGGCCGAGGCCCACAGGTCAGGGCCATCACGCATGATGAAGTGGACATCATACTTGATGCCGGTGCTGATGTGTCAGCACTTCCCTTGCGGTTCTCCAATGTTGGAGTCAAGGACAGGTCTTCGAGCAGCATGAGGTATTCAGATGCCCAAGGAAACCCTCTTCAGGTACGTGAGTTTCGCATTGCTGAGGTGAGGATCGGCCCGTGCCGGTTCTACGAGCGTTTTGCCCTGTCCAATGTCACTCACCCTTTGATCTGCCTTGGCAAACTGTATCGTGCAGGTTGGTTTGTCCGCCCTGAGAGCAATGTCTTGAAGCTGAGCAATGATACTCACTCGGTCCCGATTGGTTATCGTCACCAGTCTTTCTGTGCACAGGGGACCATTCGTATGTTGAGTCGCAGTGAAACGGATGCCATAATGAGCCCGAGTACTTCGGCGATGCCCCGGAGCATTGCACCGCAGTCAAGTCACATGCCCCGGAGCAGTTCAACGCAGTCAGGTCACATGCCCCAGAGCAGTTCGACGCAGTCAGGTCACATGCCCCGAGGTGATGGTGCTTCATCAAGTTCAGGTGCAGATGGTACTTGTGTGCAGCAAGGTTCAGTACCGTTGCAGGTCCGCGCAATCGAGGTCACTTTAGGCGAGAAGCTGTCTGGTCTGAGCAACAATCGTGGCTGGGTCAAGATTGCGCCGTCGTGCTATGTGTTGCGATCGAGTGCTGCACACCACGTCAACACCACACTCGGTCCATTTGATAACCTCATGTGGAGGCGCACCACTTTGTGTCGCAGGTCAGATCGCTGGTACCTCGAAGGGTTTGGAGAGGATGTGAGTGCTCTTGCAGGCGAAGGCAACCTAGAGAAGCCTTTTGATCCTGGCGAGCCCGTGCAGTCATGCATAACGTTTGCATACAACAAAGCTGACATGTCTCCTGAGGAGCTGGGTTTTTCGTATGCAGGGGATAATTATGGTGTCATCCTTCCGGCTCCCGCGCCGGCTGCAGCAGCGTTGGCTGATGATGACATGGATTTGTCTCCTCCCGAGGTGCCTGTTGCACCACCAGCACCAGCCGCTGATGGCTCACCAGGTGAAGCAAACCCTGTTCCGGACAGCCCAGAAGGTCAGTTGCCAGCTGATACTGTTGTGATTGAAGGCGTCAGGGTGACGAGTGAGTCTTCAGCTACAGTCCTCAGGGCCGCTTGCACTAGTTTGGGCTTGAGTAAGGCCGGTAATCGCCGTCAGTTGTGGCGCCGCTTGACGAATCACATCAACTCGCAACAGCTGCTGATTGATAAGCATGTCGAGGCCAATTTGGCCAGCTCGAGGGCTCGTGATCCGGTCACACCGGCAGTAGCCTCCGAGCCTGATGCGGCTACCAAGGCGCGTCACTGTCTGACGCATGAACCTTACGAGCCTTGGTGCGAGATTTGCATTCGCCACAGAGCACGCCAGGACCAGCATGCAACTTCTGTACCGCATACTTCTTCAGAGAATGCTGTTGTGTCGTTTGATTTTGGGTTCTTATCGCGAAAGGGCCAGAGTCTTTTGAGCACGAAGCCTGAAGTCGGCGAGGACAGTTTGACTGTGCTATTTTGCGTTGATCGTGCGAGCAAAGCTGTGTTTGCCATTCCCACGCAGAGCAAAGCAGGTGCTGCAACCTCATTCTTGGTTACTGAGGCAGCCAGGTTCATATGCTGGTTGGGACACTCAAGCGTCAAGTTGAAGTCGGACAATGAGAGGCCGATTCTTCATGTCATGCATCATTTGCAACGTGCCCTCCGAAGCTTGAACATTGGAGTGACCTCTGAAACGAGCCCTGTGGGTTCACATGAGTCCAATGGCGAGGTTGAGCAAGCTTTGCAACGCGTGCGCCAGCATGCGTGTGTTTTGATTTCACAGCTTGAGGAAGGTGCAGGCATGACGAAGGAGGTGATCAAGGTTGGTCACCCATTGTTCCAGTGGTCCGTGCTGCATGCTTGTTGGCTCCTCAACCGCTTTAGGGTCCTTCAGAATGAAACTGCATTTGAGCGAGTCCGGTCCTCGTCTTATGAAGGCCGCATCTGCCTCTTCGGCGAGCGGGTTATGGGTTTCCTGCAAACAGCCAAAGCCTCAGCCCAGTGGATCAAGGGAGTCTGGCTGGGCAAAACATGCAGAAATGATGTGCACATAATTGGCACAGCTGCGGGAATATTTGTGACCCGTTCAGTTCGCCGTCTTGCAAATCCGTGGGACCTTGACTTAGCCGTGTCAGTGGAGAAGTGTGTGTGGGAGCACGGCCTGGCATCACTTGGATCGCAGCTTGTGTTGGCCAAGCGTGTTGCACCTCCTGCGCCGATACCTGTGCCCGTTCCTGCTGAGGTCTCAGGTGGTCCAGTGATTGCATCAGGTGATGGAGATGGCAAGGAGGCTGCAGATGAAGGAGCTGCAAGCCCACGTGAAGTGGCGGGGACGGACCCCAGCAGTAGTAGCAGCTCCTCCCGTCGCTCCAGTGATGTTGCAATGTCAGTCGGTGATTCCTTCATGTCAGTTGCAGATGAGGGTGCCGGCGTCGGATATGTTGGCAATGGAGCACCGGGCCCTGGCGGGGATGTGAACCGCGTGCAGCTCTCTGCCGCCTCGCTCGTGTGCCCATTCTTCTTTCCTGGTGAGTCGATTCGGGCTGTGCATGCATACGGCCACGAGGATGAATCTCCTGAGTTGTGCTTTGAATCCGAGCTTGTTGAAGGGTTCGAGGAAGATGATCTCCAGGATGATGAGTGGGACGAGCCTGAAGAGGTTGATCTGACTGATTACGAGCAAAGGCTGATGTTCCCACGCAGTGGTGATGACCCGGCTTCACTGTCCCAAGACAAGCTAGATGAGATTGATTTGGTTGCTGAGTTTGTTGAGATTGAGCGCCTTAAGAAGCTTTCAGTCCTCCTTGATCCAAGCACTCTCGATGGCCACAATGCAGGTGAAGTGAAGCGCTTGACAACGCGCATGGTCAAGGACTGGCGCGAGAAGGTACACCAGGGCAAGCCCATATGGTTGAGGCGCGCCAGATACGTTGCAAGGGAGTTTGCATGGTTGTGCGAGTGGTCGGACACCTTTGCACCAGCTTCTTCATGTCTCCTGAACCGACTCCTCCCGATCCTGTACACCACAAGCGCCGCTCCTGACAAGTGCCTAGTCGCTATCGATGTGTCAGATGCATTCCTCACAGTCGATCAGACTGTGCCGACGGAGGTTGTGTATCGCCCGACAGGTGGAGGTCCTGAGGTCAAATTTGCTTTGGGCAAGCTGTTGCCAGGGCAACGTGATGGATCTGAGAAGTGGTATGGCTCCTTCCTGCAGCACCTTAGTTCAAGCTTGAGTGTGGAGTCCTGTGAGGCCTATCCTACACTTCTGAGGACCAAGGGTCTGGAAAGTGTGATGCAGTTGCATGTGGATGACATGCTGGCCTTCACTACATTGAAGTACGCGAACAATGAGCTTAAGCCCGCACTTCTTGCGAAGTACAAGATTAAGTTCGAGGTGTTGCAGAAGCCAGGTGATGTTCTCTGGTTCTTGAAACGCAAGTTGCACTTGGTCTCGGAGGAACAACTTCTGATGAGCCCGCATCCGAAGTACTTGGAAAGGCTCCAAAGACTTCTGAACATCAGGCCTGAAGCCAAGAAGAAGACACCACTTTTCAGTGATCTTGAGAAGTTAGATGGGACCAAGCCATTGAGCCCAGCAGATGCCAAACTGTTCCGATGTTGCGTCGGAGTGCTGCTTTATGTTGCCCATGATTGCATCGATTGTCAGTATAGCATCAACATGCTCGTGTCACGCATGAGCTCGCCCACCGAGCTTAGCATGAAAGGCCTACGGCATCTTGTGATGTACATGAGCACCATAGGTGATGAAGGCCTGATGCTGTGCAATCGTGGAACCGGTGTTGGGTTACTTGGCGATCGCTTTGATCACGATGTGGTGGTTGAGACGTTTAGCGACGCCAACTGGGCCGGTGACCAGCAGAGTCGCAAGTCAACATCCGCAGGCGTGATTGCAGTCCGTGCAAATGTGCTATCGACTAGCTCGCGCACGCAACGAGTCATTGCTTTGTCTTCAGGGGAGTCCGAACTGTTGGCATCCGCTTCTGTTCTGAGCGATGCAATGCTTGTTCGTGAGTGTGTCAAGTTTGCGCTAGGGTTTGATGAGAGCCCGCCTATCCAACACCATGTTGACAGCACTGCCGCCTTGGGCGCGCTCCGACGCCAGGGCGTGGGGAAGATTCGACATCTTTCCACTCGCATTCTTTGGCAGCAGCTGCTTGTCAAGCAAGGCATTATCGTTGCAAACAACATATCCACGGACTACAATGTAGCAGACATTGGGACAAAGGGGCTGAGCCGCGCCCGCACATTGTTCCTCAAGCATTTGTTGCATTTGTATGATGAGGCTGAGGCACGCTATGTTGGTGAGGATGAAATGACTGCGCAAGTTGAGAAGGATGCAATGAAGGAGGCAGTGAGGCGCTTTCGTCAGGCCCACCATGGAGGCAGAGTTCCGAAACAGCAGCTTCGGCAAATCATGATTGCCGCCTTGCTGTCCTTCCCTACCGGTGCAGCCGCAACTGAAGTGAACTGTGCGAACGCCGTGAGCCTTCCCGTGCGCTATGGCAGCTACATCTTGATGACCTTTATCCTTTTGTGCACCATGCTCCTGCAAGGATGTCGCAGTGAGCAACAGTGGGTTCAGGTTGTCATTAGTGTAGATTGGTCCGGAATCCTAGTTGCACTGATAGTCTTGGTTGGTTTTGAGTTAGTGTGCGTATGCCTCGGAGTATCCCTTTTCCAGCATCTGTGGAGCTCCTGGAGGCAGGATGATGAATATGCGCATGACACGGAGGAGCCAGCCTTGAGTGAAGCGTCTGAGCAGCCAGAACCAGAAGGTGATGAGTGTGACGATGGCCCGTCACAAGTCAATGGTGGCAGCTGCCATGCCACGGATGAGGTCGATCGCGACCCCGAGGCAGCAAGCAGCACAGATGATCAGGGATTCATGCGAGGGCAGCCGGCCCCAGCTGGACCGAGGTCCTATGAGCCTGAGCCGCTAGATGGAGATTTCACGGATGTGCAGAATGTGCCAGCAGTTGTGATCGGAGACCTTGATGATGATCTTGAAGTTAATGCTCATGATGCGCCTCAGGGGCAGGCCGAGCTAGCAGTGCAAGACTTAGTGCATGTGGATCCGCACATGTCATGGTTTGTTGCACCGATTGCAGGCCGCCGTGTGCATATCTTCAGGACGTGCCAAGGGCTGATGAATGCGTCAAGGGTGATCCGCATCACGGAACGTGAACGGGAAAACCTATGGCCGTATCGCAATTTCCCTGTGTGTTTCTACTGCCGCCACCGTGCACAGGCCCAGATGCGACGCGAGAGAAATCCGCCAAGGATCTACGAGATCGGCTGATGTGTGCAAATCAGGTGCATGTGTATGTGACAAGGTGTGATCATGCAGACTCTTGAATTCTTGGAATGCACACTTGGCTCATGATGACTTGACTTGTGTGCCAATTGGCATTTCCTTGAAACTTGAGTGTGCGGTGCAGCTGCATGCTGCAATGCCTGCGCCATTTTGGCGCCAATACTGTGATCCGGACCCGATCGTGCAAATCCGAATTCTGCAAATCGTTATGATTGTAAGGATCTGAATCAGGATCCCAATCTCTGCAGTGGATAGTGAGAGATCCACACGCAGCTTGAACCAGGTGCCAAAGGTATGAGGTTAGACAGGCAGAAAGAGTTTCACAGAGCCGATGTCAATGTGCATCGTGTACTCATGGACGTTGTGTGGAAACCTGCAGATGCGCTGAACTGTGTGAGCGAGTGCCTGGCCAGTGAAGCTTTGTTCTGGTGCAGTTCATGTCACATGTGAGTTTTGGTAAAGTGTCGACTGCATTGCACATTTCGCCGAAACTTTGGCGGGGTGCAAAACTTGGTACCGATGTGCGCATGCATACATTTCCTTTTGCGCACCAAACGTTTTCCTTTTGTGTACAGTATGTATGGCCAGGTATGTATCTTGTGCTCACATGGTGAAGTGCATATATCTGCAGGCGTTCGAAAGATCACAGAGAAAATTTCACTTCTGGAACAGCTGAAGCTGAAAATCACGTGCTCGAACAATGAAAGCGCTCAGCATTTGCAGTCGCTGAGTCACCCACGGTTGTGCATCTCGGACATTGCCAGATGCTTTGCTGCCGAAGCAGCTCTTCTCTTCCCCATTCATTTCTTTCCCCAGCAAAGAAATGTCATCACTCAAAGCACAATTCATGAGCTTCCAAGAACGCCTTAAGTACAGGTAAAACCCACAGTCGAGGCCGCCCGAAGAAGGAGCCATGGCCCGAAGGCACTTTGCGAAAAGTGTTAGCCCTGCGCCTGGGTAGTACAGGTTTCCAGCTCAAGACACGAGGAGTCCCTTCCCGCTTGAGCCATTTGTTTTCCGCCTTCTTGTCAATGGGTTTTTGAGCCGAACACTAAAACCTTAGAAACCGAATATTGCAACAATCATAAAAATCTCCGCTCACTCAATGGAATTTAAGGCAATCCAAGAATATAAATGAATTGAGACTCCCGCTCTTTTTAATCCGGATGGTGGTGGATGTCCCCTCGTCGGAGGGAAGGCATAGCACTTCTGGTGCGCGAAGCCTTGCCCCCTTCTCCCTGAGTCACCAAGATGCTATCGTGCTTCCTGTTCGAAATACGAGACTGAAAACTGCTTGCAGACTGCAGCGCCCTACGAGACGCATCGAAGTTAGACTTCGACAACCACAACTGATTCAGGAGCTCAAGCGTTAGCTCACTGAAACTGACATTCAAGCGGTGTTCGGGACTGAAAGAACTGAAATCCTGATTCGTCAAAGCATCTGCCAACTTGTTTTCATCGCGTGGTTTCCAAGTCAAGCTGAGCCTCAAACATGCCTTCCTTAAAAGGTGAGAGAGCTGCATATTGATAAGCATGAGTGGCCACTTGGTTGTGGACTGCTTTATAAGAAGCTTCTCGTTGCTCTGATTGTCAGTGGCCCCGGCAATGGCGACCGGGAGTCGCCTCTGCGAACTACTCTCCTTGAGGTGCCCAAAGAACCACAGTGCTGCCAAGGTGGCCAACAGCTCGGCTGAAGCCGACGCCCATTGTGATTTTCCCCCTTCGTCGAAAAGGTACGGCGCATCAGCAGGCTTAACCACTATAGAGAACCAAGGGGCAACCGACAGGTCCTCGCTAGAGTCCCAACCTCCTAAGACAACATAGCCATCATCGCATTTAGCATCCGTGTGAAAAAGATGCCCTTGCTCCTCGCGTTGTCGGCCCGGTGCCACTTTGAAGTTAATGTCCTTAAGCGTTGCCTCCAAGTAGAGCAAGGTCAGGATGACGGTGTCCGGCATTTTTGCTACGTGGCTCTTCGAAGCTGCAGCTGACCAAGCGTACAAGGGGGCCAAGTGTGGTTTGATCCAGTACACGACTCTGGACACGAAACCCAGTCGCCCGAGGAACTCCGCAAACTTCCTTACTGAAACAACGTAGCGCGCCTTACGCGCCTCGTCAACCCAGCTGCACACCCAAGCACCCCGGGCTTCGCTGAGCCCCACCAAGTCGTGCACCGTAGTCAAGCTCGTAGCCTATGAAGGCGACAAGCGTTTTTCCCTTAAACTTATGGTAAGCAAAAGGAACCCCTATCATTTCTTGAAGGATCAACCAAACCAAGAAATTGATGCACATCCGCTTCCCATAGAAAGTGGGATGCACGTCGTCCACGTAAGCGAAGTGGTAAAAGGCATGCTGCAGTAGGCAACGGGCGACAACTCTGCCTATGATTCCGTAAAGCCTGCTCCACCAAAACGAGGCCGGGCTAAGCCCGAACGTTCCTACCTTATTAATCCAAATCGTGGCGGAGCCTTGCTCCGCTCTGCATGCCATCAAGGCCCAGTCGCCCTTCCGATGCAAAACCAACCTATGTGCCACACTCACGTCTGCGGTCGCGGCCAAGGGGATTTCCTGCATAGCACCTGATTGACGAACTGAAAATGACATTTCCGCCGGCCCGGGTACTGCAATCTGATTCACCAAGCGTATCTGATTGTTGACATTGACGCCGTGTGTTCCATCATGTAATGGCCGCACACTGCCATCAGGTTTGGGGATGGCCCCCATGGAGGCCACGCGGATCATGTCTTCACTGTACTCCTCGCGCCGAGCCTTGTCGGTTTCATTCGCCCCAGTTTTTACTCGGCACGAAACTTTTCGAGGAGCTCAGCCGAGCTCAACTCGGCACTTTTGTAGTTTGTCCTATCATACTCCAGCTCGGATTCATCAAGTTTCCGCCAATGACTTTTCTTTTCATACACCTGTGGCAAGTGCGGTATCTCGCAATTAATGCTTAGGGGCACCCCGGTACAAAAACAGTCGACTCCCTTTGTTAATATTTCCCAGTCGGGATCCTCAAGTCTTTCGGCAGAAAGCGACAGTGCTCTCAGCAGGAAGGGCTGTGCATCTGGGACCTCAAGCACGTCTGGGTTGCCTTCCGCACCAAGCAACGCTGCCCACTGCTTACGCAGTGCTTCCAACTTCTCTCCGGCGAATGGTGATGACTCGACCTTGCCTGAAAGTAGGCTCAAGCAGAAGCGACGGGGATCTGGCACATGCTCGGCAATGAAGTTCGTGAGCATCCGGTACATAGATTGCGCGTGCGCAGTAGCCGCTGGGCCTCGGCGATGCCCGCGGTCCATAGGCCTCCACCGCGCCGGTGAACACAACCCGAACCCGTCTGTCAAGTCGGCCTCCTGTCCTTCCCACTCGACTCGGACAGGGTTGCCTCGGTTCCCACACGCCTCTGGCCTGAATGCCACCGGTGGCTCTGTGTCTCCTGTGCTTGGGCCCTCGGCAGTGCCCACAGCTTCTGAAGTCTCACCATTTGACGCATCCAAGTCTGGGGGGAGCCTAAACCCCAAAGCCTTAAGGTGGGCGAGGTCCGAAGCCTTAACCGTGCCAAGCTTATCAGTCACGTATGCAACCATCACCACCCGACGTCCCTTCCACGATCGCGTAGCATGGTACAATCGCCATGCATCGAAGCTCACCGGACCCTTGCAAACATCCAAGAGGACGCCAGGTCTCTGCCCATCGGGCGTGGCCTCCCATATATCGCCCCCTTGCTGTTCCAACCAGATTTGGCCGCCTTCAAAATCCGACAAAAGCAATACCATGTTCGGATAATGTGCATTCCGGGCATCACGGTGGACACCCGTCCTGACGTCGTCGAAGAGTGCGATAGCGGAGGCTTGAAAGCCTGGTGCAACCTGTTGCAAGTACCTTGTTAGGACCTGGGTAGCCTTAGGCAGCGCAGTGGAATGATGCCTCAAACCGACTAAACCACCCTTGCAATACGCTCCCGTTGCGAAAGCACTGCCCGGTGCAGCTGTGGTCGACTCCCTAGGTGGCTCCACCCGGGGCAGCATGTCGAACAGCTCTAACACACGGCGACGTTCTAGCGGCCCTGGTACCGCCAGGAGCTCCGCTGCAGCACTCTCGGGATCGCCCAAGGATTTCAAGGGAAACGCAAGGGAACTACAACCTGAACGGGAAGAAGGAACCGCCGAAGGCGGGGACGAGTCAGTCACTAAGGAACCTGAAACGCCGGACAAGTGTGGATCCTCAGGGCACGAATTGTGCACTTTAGGGGACTTAACCATCGCATCCGGAACCTTGGACTTAGAGGATTTGCACTCCCCATCTGCTTGCAGCGAGAAGTCGATGGCTGCTGCCATGAATTGACACAGCTGAGCGGGCCAGCCTCGGGCCCGTGGCAAGTTCCACTGTTGTGTGGTCTGTGATTTGCCGGTGCTAGTAGCATGACCCCCATGAGGGCACGACGCGGGCAGCGGCCCAACGTAGCGCTGATCTGCATCCAACACTGGCAGCCCGGTCAAAGGCCGCGGCGAATGACGAAAGAAGGTCAGATTGCTCAAGTAACGTGTAGGTTTGGCCATGTCGGCCCCGAACTCACACAAGTAATGCACAAAGGTCGTGGAAGCAAAACGCGGAATGCAGTCAAGTAGTTCAGGCCAAGCCCAAATGGAGCTCGGCACAACGCCATCTGCAGTGCGGCCCAAGTGTTCCGGCGCCTCCCAAATGAAGAAGTTGCCAGCCTCGGCCACGAGAACTGGTCGATAAAATGATTGGCATATGCCACTTTCTGCATGGACGAATCCTTAAGCCTTAAGCCATGGAAAACCTCTGGGCCACTTATCACTGCGGAGCGGTGGGGGCCCAGGTCGCTTATGCCTCGCCCGGCTAAAAGTATCATAAGGCGGCGAAATCAAGATCACGGTTTGCGGTTGCTTCGCAAGTGTAAACAACTGATCCCAAGAATCACCACAAAACATGTTGTCAGCATCAAATTCACACGCAAAGAATTCTGGCTGTGACACGCAGCTGCTGAGATGTGGTTTCCAATCAAAGCGCTCAGCATGATCTGCGAAGACGTGCACTACCCTTGATGCCACAGGTTGGCCTGACGTGGCAGTACCGGCCCATGCGCCCCCTGCTGAGCGCAAGCCTGTCACTTGCCTGTGGTCGCAGCTTCGTGCTGCGAGGCTGGGTGCTCGGCGAAACACCCGGCCACACGACATGCATGAACACGGGTGCACTTCGGATCGGTGCAGCCTTGGTGGTTGTAGGCATAGCACAACTGGCGACCATCAGGTGTCGCTGACACAAGAGCAAGCTGTTTCCCGTTAGCTAAGACAACCTGGCCCTTGCCCTTTTTGCCTTTGCCTTTCCCTGTTCCACGTCCGTTCTGATGCGGCGCAGGCGGCGGCGGTATCTCTTGCCCTGGTGTCTTATCCTTCCCTTGATGCTTGCCCTTCCGAAACTTATTCGGCGTGCCGGCTGTGTGCAGTGCCAGAGGCGTCGTGAAGTAGGCCTCTTTCAAAGACGGGTCCTCACGCACGGCCCGAAGCGCCTCCGACATGGTAGCGGTTCCCTCCAGGATCATCTTGAAGGCTTCAACCCTCAACTTGTATTCATAACTCAAGACGATGTTCCAAGGTGGCCGATTGAACTGCGTCTCCTGCCCTGAAGCAGTAGGCAACTTCAAGTTGCCAACACGGTCTCCCAAGATGTATTCTACAAACCTTGTAAAATCTTCAAGCTGAAGCCCTTGCAACCATGCTTTCGCCTTAAATCGGGCACTCATGCAGAGCCAGGCATGGGCCTCCACCTTCATCAAGCGACCGTAGCCCTCGGAGTGATGCGGCATTTCCAACTTCTGCATCGTCTTCGTCACACGAACATGCCCAGTGGGGTCAGTGCTGGTCTGGAGGCTCCCTACTTGCGAGTCTTTCTTCGAAGAGATTCGGTCAAGTGAATTTGCGAGGGGCTCATTGCTCTCGCACTCTTCGGCCTTGGTCGCCAAGTACTCTGCACTAGGCGTCTCGCTTTCATTCATCTTCCCATAGGCATCTGCCACAGCTCTCAACATGGCTTGGCGTTCCTGCACTTGCAAAATCCTTTTATGGCCTAAAACTTTCGCCTCCGCACGAAGTTCAATTTCTTTACTCGCATACTCCTTCACAAGTTCCCACGCTGCCACTATAGCAGCAACTTCAACACGTCCCGCTGCGGTATCGGGATTAATCCCGAAGTCACGGGCAGCTGCCCTGGCGCCTTCGCGATTGTCTGCGATCGCCTGGAATCGCCTGCGACTCTGATGGAGCCGCGCAACCTGATACTGTCTTGCTAGTGACGCACTAGCTTCTTGAAGCACATATTGCAAGTCGGAATCCATCTTCGCAACTTCGGCTCTCTGATCGGCCTCACTGGGCAAAGCCATACTGCCTGAAACAGCACTGAGCTGTGCAACTGAAACCGCAATCTCAGCGGTCGCCCATGGCAACTGAAAGTCACGTGGCTACTCAGACTGATAGGTGACTGAACTGCATGCGCACAAAGCTTCAAAGTAAACTCACGTGTCACTAATGTCATGCACATGCCGCCGCTCCTGAGAAGCCACTTCAGCCAAAGTCCCTCATGCGCGCTCCCAACGTTATGAGATGCTCTGGCCGGCTACAGGTGGGGTTCTAGTAAAAATATTATTTTGCAACTATTTTGCAACTCCGTTTTGCAACTCCCCGGCCCGGAAAAAAAAGGATTGCAACTTTTTTGCAACGACAATTGTAGCTTACAACACTGAATAAAGCTTCTGTAATAAGTAACGCACACAGCTTTGCTGACGGTTAACGGTGGCAACATTCAATTCATCGTCATGATTGCTTGCAACCTTGTTCCCAGCAAACTACACGGCTAGCTGTTAATGGGGCTGGTAGAACAGCCGAGGGTCCAGATTCGGTACACGAATAAAGCCACACATTAGCAGCAGCGGAAACTTGGGCTGGGCAATACTAAACAAGAAATGGTTCCTTATGCTTGAGCATCAGGCAAGCCTTGGGGAACCTATCCAAGCCGAGCATCATGGTCATCAGCTAGGGCAAGGGCTGGCTATAGCTAGAGCCCATGGCTTCATGAGCATTCGCACGAGCTGGGGCTCCGGTTGGTTTGGGTTGTTTGTTTACTGATGCACACCTGAGTCTGGAAGTGGCTATGTGCCCCGAAATCGCCAATGTTGCAAGAGCATTTGGCTTTGCAGCAGCCAATCCAGGCCCGACAGATGCATGGTTTTTCTTCGTGGTTTTGTGCTGCCGAACGACTCATGATTATGATGCCTCAACAGTCAGATTTTGCTTGGGGCTTGGGCCTGGACTTGGACTCGACTAACTGACTTTGACTATGACTAACAGCCTAACAGCTTAAAAAGCCTGATCACTGAGTCATATTATATTGAGTCAAGTCACACAGCTACTGAGTTGCATCGGTTACGGTGGTTACGGCTACGACTGGCTACACGGCTACACGGCTACAGCGGCTACGGTTACAGTACAGTTACGGCGGTTTCGGCTACTGTTGCTGTTTCTGAGGCTTTGTTACTGCTGCTGCTTAGTCTTCAAAGTCTGCTAAGTTACGCTTCAGCAAATGATTTGACAGCTAGCAGGTAGCACGAACCGTATGCTTTTGAGACCGAAACCATGTCGCAGGGTAATTTTCCACGAAGACCAGGGTGAGAACGGTCAGGGCAACGGTCATTGTCCTTCACCGTTTGGGTTGTGTTTGGAGAGTGCTGAAACCATGGTGAAGGTTGCTAGCTGATGCTTGGCCGCCACACCATGGTTCACCATGCATTTTTGCCACGGGCTGCGTGTTTTGGAGTTCTGGCGACCTGTGTCAACCGTGCGCGTTGGCTCCATACTGACATATTGATTCCGTTTAGCAGAAGCAGATCAAGCGTTGTTGCAATAGTTTACAATGTATAGGATTATAGGAGTGTATGTGTGGAGTCCGGAGGCATTTACAGTTTAATAATGTATGAGCTAACGTTCTGACTTTGGGTAGTACTGATGAGAATGGTGATTGTGAGTCATGTCATCGTGTTCATTGCGAAGACGAGGATGATGAGCATGGTCCACTCCCTCCAGCTGTTGCTCCAGTGGCAACTTCGCCTCCTTAATGATTTCAGCCAACAGTAAAGCATACTTCTTCTTTGCCAGCTGCTCCTCCTTCGCACGCTGTGTTGCGTCCGTATTTTCTTTAAGCAAGCGCCTCTTCCGCTGCAGTGCTGGCAGCAGGACAAGCGGGTTGCTCCTTGCCAGCTCATCAAAGGTGTCCGTCAGCTTTGGCACTACACGTTGCTGTGGTAGCACCTCCCACATGCCCTGCAATGACTCTCTTCGCTGCCGCTTGATTGCCGCCTCATTTTCCCGTGCCCATGTCACAAGACTGTCTGCTCTCTGATATTTCCCATCTCGGTTGATGCCCGGCAAGAAAGCCTCTATTAGCTCGGCCGCCTCCTCGCGACCATCAAAGGCAGCCTGCAATTGCATTCGCGAATGCCCCTTTAAGGAGTGCAAGCTCCTGCCCTTGCAGCCCCGGCCATGACATCTACGTCCGAAGGAGCCTTTGCCCCACACTACCAAAAACTAAAAGCTGAGCTGAAATCTCGCGCGGAGCAAATACATGAAGATGCAGCTTAAAGCCACAACTAAAAAGCTTGACTGAAAAACTGACATGTACTGAAAAACACGCATGTACAGTGAAACTAAAATCCAACGATCCGTAAAACGGGCAAACTGAAAATCATCTTTCGTCCCGGCCCATCACCCGCCCAGAGATTTGAAGGCTTCCAACAGTATAACTGGGCAAGCCCAGTAGAATAAGGCGTGGGCTTTACACAATTCGGTAATCAGCCTCCTCACCTGTGGGAAAATGCGGGTGCCCATTCTTGGTGGCGGGAGTCCAAGGTTTATGCTCGTGCTTCCCGTCGCATTCTTTCGCCAAAGGGTCAGCGAGCCCCGGCGACGCAAGGAATGTTGTAAGCTTGCGCCTGGAGGAACCCCACATGCACGCGTGGAATTTGGTGGGCGACAGAGTGCTCCATTCGGCGGTCAGCCCCAGCTCGCAAGCAATAACCTCCGCTAGAGCCCAAAAGTGACTATTCGAAGGCTTTTCGACGGCGCTGCTAGCACCGTCCGTCACCATGTACAATGTGTTGGAAGCCTGAACCCGAGTTTTGTCCACTTTCGTCACGGGCAGCCTGGACCCCCAGAGGCCGTCCACGGATCTTAAGGGGAACAGGGATCCCCGTTGCACTAGCCATGGGAATCCCGCGGGCCAAGCTGGCCGTTCCGCACAGTGGCGCAATGTGGATGCTGGCCACGTCGGCTTTGCACAAGCATTCAAACAACACTTTCTGATGTTCGGTCTTTGTCAAGTCAAGGAATGACTGACACCTGCTTTGCGTGGGCAACCTTGTCGATTGCCAACATGTTCAAGTCGGTCTCCACGATAGCTTTGGATAATCGCGCAGACCCACAAAACAGCTCTACACACAAAAGTTCAGCTGGCTTTACTGCAAAATTTATTGGCTCAAGTGAATTCACTGCTGGCAGTTCGATGCGAATGCCACGGGCTTCAAACACACATGCATCTGCCACGGTCGCACACTGCCTCGGCGACGCGACTCGGGGCTCCTGCGATTGTCACTCCGACTTGCGGGTCGGGCAGTCTTTGCCCGGTGGCTCCCATGGCAAAACCGACACCTGTGCATGCCTCTGCCGCACTTCTCTTTGTCCTGGCACTTGCAGGTGCCCCTGCTATACGCAAAGCAATTCGGCTTCCCATCCGGACCTTTCATGTCGGCGCCTGCCGGTATGTCAACCTTCGGCTTCTTCGGTTCATCTCCGTCTTTCAAGGCTTCTTTTTCTTCTTCTTTTTCTTGGGCGGGCCTGTGTCGGAACTCGAATCCCTCCTATTGCGCTTCTTTTTGCCTTTCCCCCCACCTCCCCGCGGGAGGAGGCCAGATGCTACCTCGGCTGTCCTGCACCGCTGCCAACGCTGCGTCCACAGGCTTCGGCGACCCTGAAGTCAGAACCTCACCGCGGGTTCTTTGCGCATCCACACCGTTCTGTCAGCCTCGAGGATCTGTTGAAGGGAAGGCGGCTTGTGATTGTTCAAGGCTGGCTTGAGCATGAAGCCGAATAATTTCGACGCCCAACGATCTACCTCAGTGAAAGAAAAATGTCCCGCCATATGCATGGCCAGGGTGCGCCTCACCATACAGGACCGTGCATGAAGCTCTGACCCCAGCTCGGCACTCGGCGCTGGGCTCGATTTGGTGATTTTCAGCATCCCTTCTATACTCATCGCAATTGGATCCTTTTTCTCTGCCCTCATTTCCGTCTCACGCGACGTGCAAAGTGACAACGCCACCGGAGCAACACACTGTTCCTCAGCCTGAGCAACGAATCGGTCTGCTAGGTCATGAGATGGCTCGATCACCGTGGCTATCGTGAAACCCGGCAGCGAAGCCTTCAACCTCTTAAGCCTGTCGATGCGATCTGGCAAGGAAAGCTTCTTCGGTTCTTGCGATGGCCTGGCCTCAAACCTGTCCCTCATGTCTTGCACTGCGAGGGTGTGAAACTCCCAAAACAAGCTGCGCAATGCTGGCAAGTGGGCCGCTGGGTCTTCCCCGACATAAGAAGTTAGCGACTTGATGAACGGCGCTTCATCTGGTGCACTCGGCTGATACGACGACACGAAGGCGAAGGCTGAGAATTTGTTTACGCCCTTGGCGCACAAAGCACCCAAGTATGCCCGCGGGACCCCAATGGCCTCCGCTCTCGATCTGGGGGCGACTTCCAGTCTACAGACATGTTTGCAGAACACCAGGTCTTTTAAGGCACCCCCGACACGACAAGCTGTGTGCTATGGCAAGGCCTCGAATGCGGCCCTGGCGAGGCAAGCTGCGCAGCGCTGCAAAGCTCTTCAGCAAAACTCCAGACCAGACAAGACAAGCTGTTTGCTGTGGCTAAGGGTTCTCAGATGCACCCCTGAGGCTGCGGGATGGCCGGATTTCCCAACGATGCACTTGATAAGCACTTGATAAGAAGCAGCAAGCGTTGCGGCTTGCGTTTTGTCAATGACACTCCTGACAGGCCATGCGCACACACTCTACCTACACAGGCGTCTACCAGTCAGGGGGAACTCCTAACCGCAATCAAAGACAGACATGTCAGTCCCTCAGCATGCCAAAGTAGTTACAACATGCAACTTGCTCATGTGTTCTGTTCCCTCATGTGTTTGTTGGCCCATGCTTCCAAGTACCTGAGTCAAAACTGCATTGAACCACAGCGCACACGGCGATTACTTTCACCGACAACACTGCAGTCACTCACTACGCAGGACACAAAGGTCATGACAGGAACGTCTGCTGCGAGTGGTTTCACTGGCAACGGTATAAGGGTTCGCCAGGGTCGGTTTGAGGGCTTATGCGCACCCGAGCATGATTTTCGTGGGTTTTTCTCGTATTTGGGCACACTGCAGACCCAAGTCCCTACAACCAAAATTGCTCATGCCTCGCCTCCCAGACTCAATGCCAAAGAGTCTGACGGCGACTTTCTCGCCCGTGTCATTCGTGCGCGAGGCCCCCTTGGCCTTGTCTGCAACGATCTCTCAATTGGATGGAGAAAACACAACGATTCCAACTCCCCTGTCAAAAGGGTTTGGGTGCTTGAACATGCCCCGAAAACGTGGGATTTGCAACAGGTCTCTGAGCTACTTCAGGCGCACTTCTCGGACATCAACATGTTTAAGCAGGTTCAAAGGGGAGCCTGGAAAAACTTCGTGTTTCGCGCTGCCTGCAAACGAGGCAACGATATCGATCTTGTGCCGATCACCATTCAGCTTGACGAGCCTGGCGCCAGCCCTGGCGCTTTCACGTTGTGGGCCAAGCTTGCCCCGCCACGGCCTGCAGAGTTCAAGCAAAGACAGATCAAGGGTGGAAGTGTGCCTTTTGTCGACAAGCATAGCATTCTCGATCCGGTCACAACTGCAGGCCCCTGCGAACATGCAAAACAGCGAGACTTCGGAAAAGTCCAAGCAGTCAGATGGCGATGCAAAGCGCCAGTGCACCTCCAAGCGACCGGTCCCCACTGGGACAGCGCTGCGTTCCCATCCTAAAGATGGCGACTGCTTGTTTCATACCTTCAGGTCTGCCCTTAACTGGATACGGAAATCGAAAAGTGAGGAGGCGCCACACCCTCATGAGCTCAGAGCGAGGACTGTGGCCCACATTCAACGATACGAGGATAGGTATCGACCCCAATGGGAGGCGGATGGCAAAAAGGGACCCGACAACCAGCCAATGGATGACTGGGAATCGTTCCTGAAAGCTATAGCTATGCCGGGATCTCATGCGGGCGACCTGGAATTAAGAGCGCTTTGCAGGATCTACGACATCAGAGTGGTCCTCATCCCTGAAGACCCGAATTTCCAGGTATCGGTATACCACCGAAAAGCTGCAGAAAAACGCACCATCGCTATATTCTTCACTCCTTCGCATTTCGACTTTTTGGAACCCACGGAGAAGGCCTATCCCCAGGCAATCCTGAAGGTTTCTGCAGATCCGAATGGAGGGTTTCTCGTGGGAGGCAGTGGTAGTGAGCGCTCGGTCTTCACAGCCAGCTCTAGCACTAAGACTGTCAAAACGACTTGGACCTCGCTTGCAGGGTCCTTCGCCAAATCCCGCGAGTCATCTGTGAAGAGTGCTGCACGACACGCAGAGCCGCCAGCCTCGCATAGTGATGGCATGCAGGGACCCGGCGCCCATGCAGATGCCGACTCTTCGTCGTTGAGGGCTTCGGGTTCTTCGGGAGCTCGGTCCTTGGTTTCCTGCCGGGGTGTTTCTGTCGGTAAGGCCCCCACTGCTTCGAAACTTGGCAAAGGGTCCAGAGTCGGTAGCACTAAGAATGGCACGGTGTGGACTCCAGACAATTCTGATCCGGATGAGGATTTCCCACAGTGCCAGGAGCTTGAAGATTGCATCCCTGCCAAAAAAGTGCTTGCGCCCTGCAGTCATCGCACAGCCACTGTCATGCCTGAAGATTGCACATTTCGGTGCCCCTACTGTCCCTTTGTGAAGAAGGTCAACACGTTGGTGCAGTACAGACAGACCTTGCGTAACCATCTTGCCAAGCATCACAACGGAGCTGGACTCCCTAGGCGAGTCACTCGCCCGAAGGTGTCAAAGGTGCCTGGGGGACGGAAAAACATGGCTTGGAAATGCCCGCGATGCTCCCTTGGAGTCTCTCGTGCAGTGAGGAGTTCGGTCATTCGGCATGTTTTTGCAAAAATGAGACAGGACCATCGTGCCTCGCATCACCCGGAGATTCCTCCAGCTGAGTGGTCCGCCATCAGTCGGGTTCAGCCCACGCCTTTCTCACAACTGTCGGAGGACAGCAGGCGAAATTTTGCGGAAGGAGTTCGCACTCGCAGGCTTGCCAAGACTGCACTCAAAGAGGTCCGAGCCCCTAGGTTCCCAGGCCTC